AATAGAAGGAATAACTCGAACTCTTTATTTTTTTTACTCTAACATTCTTTTCTTATATCAAGAAAATAATTGTCCAACTGAGTAACAGATCTAGTTTTGTCTTCACGAATTGGAGGTGGCACCGTGGTGGAGTACGACTGTTGATTTTCATGGCATCTATGGTGGAGGTTGGTGGTTGACTGTAGATGTTGGTTTCAGATGTGTGATTCAAGAGTTGTTTCTCCTGTTTCTCCTATTATGTAAATTTTGCAGCATGGTAAACTCAAATTTTGTCGCAGTCATGTGAATTCCTTATATTTTTTAATGAGAAAAATCGATGCAGATTTTCTTCTCAACCTTAAAAAAAAAAGAAAAAAAAAAGATAAAATTCATATAGTTTTTTTTTAATTTAGTTGAACATTTTGGATTCGGGATTTCTTATAAAACCACTATCAAGGAAAGAGAACAATTTTAAACTTCCCCTTCATACGGGGTATTTTTGGCTGTTGCTTTCTTTGAATATAGACAGATAAAGTTGATATCATTTTTTTTTCCTGGTATCCTATGTTCTTTGTCGATCTTACCAGTTAAGGATGTTGGATGCTTAAAAATAAATTACAAATAATTGAATGGTAATAAAAAAAATCCAGTTAATTAAGATTTAATGGTAAAGAGCTGCTGGACACAACGAACCCGAGATGATGCCAAAAGAGGCCCAGAATAACGGCTTAAGGCATGTTAGCACCACTGGTACGGAGCACATTTATTCTCACCACAGAAGGCCCAGAATAACGGGCTTCGCAATGCTGAGAGGAGATCTTTTTTCATGGGCAAGGAAGAGGTGGCCCTGCTGGCTATTGAGGCCTTAGGCGGCGAGATTTTTTAGCTAAAATGAAGACCGAGGACTGCGTTGTTACGTACCCGTGACTCTGTGAGTGCGGAGCTTCGAAAGGTGAATATGGTGCGATGGCCATCCTTGATTTTATCGGACTCTCTTCCAAATGCTATAATTACTTGCTCTGTCTCGTGGTTTTTTTAATTTCTAGCCATGAATTCACCGGTGACGAAAAGGGGTGTGTATATAAGAAGGTGCTTACAATAGCTAGGCCCAAGAGAGATTTGCTAGGCTTCTCATTCAACAAAACATTGTCATTTTTGTTAAATATATATGTTTTTTAATAGGGAAAATTACCTGACCATGATGTAGTTTGATATTTATTTCAGGTCACGACTAGTTTTTAGAAAATTACATTTTATATCATTGATTAAAATAGATTTTAAAATTTAATGAAATAACTACAATACCTTCATATATATTAAATAAAAAATCTCACCATTATTGTCCCACTAGTTGTCTCTCTCGAACCTCATCTTCTTTTTTCTTTCATGTTTTTCCGGTCATCTTCTATGTCAAACATGAATTTAAAAGGAAAGATCAAATACAAATCCATTAATTTAGACATCATCGAACACAAATTCTCCTTAAACACTTTTTTATCATATTCTCTCTCATGTTTTGGTGTTGTAATTAATTTCTATTTTGGAACTCAACAATAAAAAAATATTTTTTAATTTTTTTCTTGAATCGAGATTTCAAAATTTGTTGATAGTGTGTTTCGTTATTTTTAAGTCATTAAAATATGTATTTTTTCCTTGATTTAACAAAAAAAATTAACAAATATGGTGCTAAAAATTTCAAAAGCAAATCCTGAAGGTACAATAACTCTAAACAGTTTGATTTATTTTTGTTCAATCAGTAAATTTCAGACTCTCGAACATGTTTTGGAGAGTAGAAAATCAGTTAATTGAATTCTTGTTAAAAAGAAACCCAGATTTTTAAAAAAAAATCAGAGTTAGTATCTACGCAACCTTAATTTTCGAATGTTCTTAGCTAGCCTTTTCGATTTGGTTTGGTAATGAAATGGTAGTTGCAACTTCTCTTATAATTCATGTTCCCTTCACGTTGTCTATTCAGGACAATGCATATTGGTCAGTGAACATGAATCATACAAATTTGTATTTTTTTGTTCCGGGGAGCACTTCTTACTACAGTCCATCCGAGGTGAATGATAATTAACCAAGAATGGATGTGAGCAGGACAGCTTGGAAATAGAATTCAGTAGTGAACGCTCAAGAGCCCGCAGCCACAGAGACGTGGTTTGAAGGAGATGATGACATGGGATTGCATGCCATACACGAAGAAAGTTAGAAGTTTGTTCCATTTTTGTTTTTCCAGTTGATTGATTGCATGACGTACAGTAGATGGCTTGACCTTTTTGTCGACCAGGGATCTTCCAATTTATAAGTTCCTGGCTAGTTCCTCCGAGTTAGGAAGCATCTGTTTTTTAGCGGCATGGTAGATGCACAGTCATGCATTTTAGGTTTCAAAGCTAAAAGGGATCCACAAAGTTTATCGATCTCTTGCCCATTTTATGCTTGCCTGAAGCTGTTTTCTCGTGATCAGTTTTTGCGAGCATCTTTATGCATTTGCGTATATTTCTTACTGTTAGTTTATGTTTATTACATATGTTATGCTTCAACATCATCTTCAACTTGCACATTACTTAAAATTGTCCTAGGCAACCATCAAGGTGGTAATCAAATAATAAGGACTTGGGATCAAGGAGTTTGCTTCCTCTGTGGTTTCAGGTTCGAGTCTTTGGTTGCTCATATGATGGCCACTGGAGGCTTACATGGTCGTTAACTTCAGGGCCCGTAGGATTCATCGTGGTGCGCACAAGCTGGCCCGGACACCCACGTTAATCTAAAAAAAAAAAAAAATTATCCTACGCGTGAGCTACGGAAAGAAGTTCACCTTAATCCTCATATATTGATTTATTATCTAGTCAATTGATATACTAAGAAATTTGAGTTTTGTTGACCAAACAATAAAAAATATGAATTTCATCATTTTTTTTAATCTTCTAATTAAAATTATTGATGGTAAATGGTTATCTAAGTTCATGTTTGAATTTTATCATTTTATTTTATCTTCTAATTAAAATTAGTTAATAATAAAAATTCATTAAAATCTGTCTCAATTTCAAATTTAAATAGTTTTTACTTGAAAATATATATTAAAAAATAACATAAATTATATTTTATAATTATATTTGATAGCTTGAATTATTATATTAAATTAATTTTTAAATATCGGTACAAATACCATAACATACAAAGATTGCTGGATTTTTTAAAATTAAACATGTATATAAGCTGTTCAATTTAATTTTAAGATTTTTTTATATTAAAAAATATAGCATGTTCAATTTGTTTATATTAAAAAAAGGGTTGGATAGCTGGATAGCATGTACAAGATTACTAAAAGGGGCATAATACGCACACAAACACTTACTTACTTGAATGAAAATGACCAGCACAATAATCCACCAAGGTGGTCCCCGTCAATCATACTTTAATCAATCCCAACGTTGACGTTGTTTTTCCCTTATCCCCTCCACCTTTTCACCGTGGTAAGTGTCGCGACGATTTTCTTCCATGGAATCATAGTCGGCAGACGTTTCGAAAAGGCCATCTCATTTCCTATACCTCCTAATTCCTTCCAGTGTACAGTATTTCCTCTTTGAAAACAGGAACGGTAGCTTTCCTTCGAGCAATGCCCCTCTCTGCTTGACATGCTCTATGATTCATCGGGAAGCATCAACATCCCATTCAAAGAACTCATTTTCTTGAAATTAAAACTATTTTGCATGTCAAATTGGGTACTACGACGGACGATTTTCTTCATACAAAGATTAGACGAGTAATCTGCTTTCATTGAAAAGAGCTATACTGGCATGTACTTGGAAGTGGACTCACATGTAAAAGGACATGATAGTTAAGTGAGACCTCCCTTGCTGTGATGTAGATTAGGACATGATAATGTGTGCGTGTTTCCTTGGCAAAGAATAGATTTTTCTTAAGAGTTTTTGTCAAATTTACTTTAATGCGCTCAATCAGTATGATATATCCAACTTCGGTACTTGATTATATGCTAAGCCTAAAGCTTACCTGTGCGAGCTTTAAGTAGATTTTGTTTTTTTGGAAAATCAGCACATCAGTGCCTGTGGTTGCTATCTAAAAAAATAAGTTTTTTTCAAATATTTTTAATTGTAATTTAAAAAAATTTATGTATTTAATGAAAGGGATTATAAAAAAGAATTTTTATATTTAAAATAAATAAAAAATATATATTTATAAATAAAAAAACATATTATTTGTTTTTATAAAACCAATGCTTCAAGCATAATTAGGGGGACAACGTAAAAAACATAAACTATTTTACTAACAAAATAATTTTTTATTTGTAAATGTGTAATAAACATAAGCTACCAATAATATAATCTTGCAAAAGTCATGTGTGAAAATTGTGTTTTTTAAAAGGTAATGGTTGAAAATAGTGATATTTTAAAAAATAATTTAAAATAAACCAACATAGGTTACAAGAAAGGGAGAGAAGAGATAAAAGAAAGAAAAAGAAAAAATAATTTATTTTGAGTATTTTTTTATTTAAATTCAGTCTTTTGAATATTTTCATTTCAATTTTTTTTTTTAGATTTTCAAATCATTTTTCATGTATTAATATTAAAAGTAATTTTTAAACCTATTACAAAATAAAAACAATTTTAAAAAACAAACTCTACTACATACCCCTTTTTTTCTTTCTTTCCCGCAAAACAAAAGGCCTAACGGTCACAAACTAAAATCCTAAAGAGTACTTCAAGTTCAAGTAGTCTTCATCCATTAAACCACCATGCGAGGCAAAGTACAGATATTCTCTTAGCTCCTAACAAAACCCACGTATGGGAAACTACAGTATTCCCTGAACTCATCTGATCTTGTCTGCTTTTGGCAATTAAAAAACTGTGACCACCAAAAAGCCAACAAAAACAAACCCTGATCCTCTGGGGACCGAGATATACCAGATTCCTCTTTTAATTGAACTCACACGTGACTAACATACTCCTTTACACTTTACAGATTTACCACAAGCCTAACACGCGCCCCACCTCTCCTCACTCTCTCCACCGTCCTCCTGTCCCTCAATCGAATGGCCAATACCTCTCCATTTCTCCATGATATCTTCACTCCGTCACCACGCCAATCTCTCACAAAAAATCACTGTCTTCAATTCCTTAAATAAAAATTTAAAACCCTGTCTTTCATTTTGTTCTCTCTTTCTCCCAGTATAAGAAACCATGTTACTTAAGGCGGCACCAGCCTTTTCTCTGCTGAATACTAGAGGGGATAGTTCGGGTCCCCTGTTTTCCTCCGCTTCTTCTTTGTCTCACAATAATCTTGCTGTTTCTCCTTCAATTCTTCGCACAAAAACTGGGTCTGGATTTCTTGTTTGTGCTTCAAAAGGGGCTACTAACAAGTCTCTAACTGGTGTTGTCTTTAAGCCTTTCGAGGAGGTTAAGAAAGAACTGGATCTCGTGCCTACTTTGCCACATGTTTCTCTTGCTAGACAGAAGTTTACTGATGAGAGTGAAGCCGCCATCAATCAACAGATCAAGTGAGGTTTTTTTCTTTTTTCTTTTTATTCTTCTTGTCGAGCGACTCTTCTTTTGCGGTGAAGAAATGAATTATTTTCTTTAATTGATGTAAAAAATGATATCTTTATATTGGAGCTGGATTAAAGATTCTATTTTTTTTCCTGTGTCACGAGTCTTTTTATAAGATCCTTTCTTTCTGATCTCTTGGGCTGTTTTTTTCCACTGATTTGTTTCTTGTGCTCTGTTCTGCAACTTTTGTTTTTCTGTGGAAGATCGGTTTGCGCTATCTTTAGCATCAATTCTGAGTGAATCAGTATTGCTGAAGTACTCTCACGTAGTCTTTTTCAATATCTAGATCTATGTTTTCTAACCATAAATTATGTCTTTTTTTGAATGACAGTGTGGAGTACAATGTCTCATATGTGTACCATGCCATGTTTGCCTACTTTGATAGAGATAATGTGGCACTCAAGGGCCTTGCCAAGTAAATTCTCGTGGAAAGTCTCTGTTCTTATAAGATTCCTCCTCGGTTGTATGTTGTTCACGCTTATTTATGGTGTTGTCTCTAATAGTTTTTTCAAGGAATCAAGTGTTGAAGAAAGAGAGCATGCTGAGAAATTGATGGAATACCAGGTAATTAGCTTCACATTGTGATATAGTCGTCTATTGTTTTTCAACTTTTCAATTTAGCTTTAGAAGTTTTTTATTAGTTTTACAATGTAATTGAATCTTCTGTTACTGTTGTGAAATCTTTCAGAACAAAAGAGGTGGAAAAGTGAAGCTGCATTCTATATTGATGCCCCTCTCGGAGTTTGATCATGCGGAGAAAGGAGATGCGCTGTATGGTGAGTTTTGACTAACCTTGCATAAGTTAAAATGAGAAGTTAAGCAAAATGGATAGATTTTTTTAGTCATTGAAGCTGTTTTGTGAGTCCAATGTCATTTGCCAGTGCTTTGAATATTTCTTCTCATTCTATGTTAATTTTGACCATGTACTGAACTGATCATGCTAAGTCATGTAGTTAATGTATTGGAATGCGATTGATTTACACTAGGTCTATGCTCGAATATCTCAATCAGGGCATGATTATCTTTTTTCTTTCTTGGTGCTTATCTGTTTCTTGGCACAAGGTATAGTTGCGAATTTGACCTGATGGGAAATATTCAGTGCTGAAACTACATGGACTTGTGTTAAGAATCGTGTGTTAGTTATGGCTTCATAAGCAGCTTCTCAAATACTAGTCTTTGTCTCTGTGTTCTTAGGCTTATGATGTATGTTTAACTTAAAAGAATTTATATGCATCCATTAGTTTACAAGAAATGGCCAGCAAAATACAATATTTTGGTTAACATTAGGAGTTGAGAAATTGATGGATGAGTTGAAATCTGTGCTGCAATGCACTGGCGTCTGTTTTGTTAAGTTATGAAATATTTAGTTTTATCTTCAATTTACCTTATTGTTGATTCAGCTATGGAGCTTGCCTTGTGTTTGGAGAAACTAACAAATGAAAAGCTCCTGAACTTGCACAGTGTAAGACATTTCCATTCCTCAAGTTAGAATTTAATGTACATTACTTCATTACATGGTAAATTTCACTTTGCACTTAGCAAGTAATGCTGCGAGTAGTATAACCTTTTGGGAGACAAATTTTTTTATGCTTTCTAGTTTTGTTTGCCAAGTGCTTACAATTTGAATTAAATTCTGTTCAACAGGTGGCTGATCGGAACAATGATGTGCAGTTGGCAGATTTTGTTGAAAGTGAGTTTTTAGCCGAGCAGGTATGTATAGCTTTCATGTTGGCCTACTTCCACCGACTTTTATTTCACGTTTATGGCAGGCCAGCTGAATTCGGGTTTTGGCCTTTTTAATTGTGTGCTCTGTAGGTGGAATCTATCAAAAAGATCTCAGAATATGTTGCTCAGCTGAGAAGGGTGGGCAAAGGACATGGTAAGGAACTCTCCTAAACAAAGTTCTTCCTTCGCCGTATTTATTTAAGAATTTTAAATGTGTTTTTTTTCATCCTTTCTTTGAACTGATTTACTTTTTCTTTGAATTATCAGGAGTATGGCACTTCGACCAGATGCTCCTCCGTGGGGAAGAAGCGGTTGCATAATTATGAAGCGATCTTGCTTAGCGTACCGTTTATGAGATCGTTTTATGCAATCTTTTTTTTTTTAATCTAGTTTTTGTTCAGAGGTTTTTGGAATGTGTTTCAGTGGTTGGTTAAACATACTTTAATGTTGTCCAGGATCGAACACGAGCTTAGCCATCGTTCTTAGAGATTTAAGGTGGTTCAAAATTTATGGTTATCCTTCATTCCTAATTTTAGAGTATCTTGTTCTGCAATGGCAACCACTACAGAAAGAAAAGTGTAAAGGGAAATGGTTAAAGACCGTCAGCCGTTCTACTCGCAGTATGCTGAGTCGAATTCTTGGTGGGCTCGTGTGCGTGTGCTATGATACGATTCCCCAGAATTATAAAGTTGAAATCGAAGCGAGTTGATACGGGATAAATTGAAACATTCTTGGTGGGCTCGTGTGCGTGTGCCGTGATACCTTACCCGAATTGAATCTGGATTTGAGTTTTAAAATAATATTAAAAATATTTATATAATGATTCAGATCAATTCAAGTAAGTTAATTTTTATGATATGTAATCTAGGTTTTGTTTTTAATTAGTCTTTGCTTTTGATTAGGATTTAAAATAGATTTTAAAATTATGATAATTATTATTTTACTTTTATATTGATTAGTCAATGAGAGTTAACTCTCTTGTGACTTAGATGCTGTTCAAATTGATTTGAGTGTTAATAGTTTTAAAAGAATAATAATAATAATTTTTATTTTTTTATAGTTAATTAGATTTATAGTTAATTAAACTAATGATCTGAATCTCGATGGTAAGCTCCAAATCAAGTTGGTAATCTCGAAATCAAGTTTTGAATTTACGAGAATAGTTATTTTTATATTAATATTGATTTAGGTTAATTTAAATTGATTTTTTCATTAACATTTTGAAATTTGGAGTTTTTGGTTGTGATATTTTAGAAATAAAAAAATTATAAATATTATCTCTCAAAACTTGTAATTTTATACTTTTATTTTAAAAATATAAAAAAATAATTCTAAAATAATAAGAGAAACATATTTATTTTTATACTGTTACCTGTATTTGTTTTAATCACTGCATTTCAATCTTTACCGTAATCATTCTTTTTATCCCATGAAGGGTAAGATTGTCTAATCCTAGTCTTCAATGATCATCAATCAAATCTGCCCCCGATATGAAAACATGCAATAGCATTTCTTGACGCGACACCACTTTCAAGTGCTTGTCACCTGGCAAATCCTTATTTGCCAGCTAGGGATGTCGAGGCTGATGGTACCTAATTTCTATTCCTACCGGTTCAAGAGATCGAGATTGCACCTGTAACGTGAATTGTTCGGGCCGACGGCATTTATCTTCAAGTGTCCAATGATGAAGCGAAAATGACAAGTAGCCCACGGCCGGGAATCAATCCAAGGATTATCGGCCCAGAATAAAATTAAGACTTTGGTTTGGGCTGAAATATAGCACTTGTTGACAACGTGGAAAAAAATCTAGACCAATCACAGCAACATCTGGCCATCTGGGTCAGCTGCGAATTGATTTCATTAACCCCCCCGGCCCCCAATAAAAATAAAAATAAAAAAGACTGAAAGTTTTTTTTTTTTTTTCACGGGTTTGAGACAGATAATTTGAGGCAACAAGACATTTTGAAGCAACAGAAAAGGTTTATCTTTTTCCATTTTCTGGATTATATGTGCAAAAATGATTATGAAACCAAGGGATATTACGGTGGTAGGTATTGTTTTTAATGTTTTTTATTTAAAAATATTTTTTTTAATATTAACACTTTAAAATAATAATAAAAAAAATAATAATTCAATCGTTACTCCAGGCTAAATAAACAAATAAACCTCAAAATTTAAAATCTCATCTCCATTAATTTCCTTCTCAAAACTAAGCCACCGCTATGTCACCACCAAACCCAGCCGCTATATAAATTCAAGCCACGTAGAACAATTGCAGCAACCAAATATTAAGAGTATTTAGAGGTATGTTGATAGTTATTTTTAAAAATATTTTTATTTGGAAATATATTAATATAATATTTTTTTAAAAATGATTTATAATATTAATACATTAAAATAATTTAAAAATATAATTTTAAATAAAAAATCAAAATCCAATTTTTTTATATTTATTTATTTATTGAAAACCAGCACATCAAATTACATAAAAAAATATTAAAGATATTTTTTAAAATTTTAAATACTTTTTAAAAAATATAAAAACAAAAACAAAAACTACACCAAACACTCTTTAAAAGTAGCATGGTTAGTTCGTAGAACTTAAATCTAGGACTGAATCTCTATAAATGAAAAATCAAGACATTTTTTTCTTGCGGAAAATGATATTTTTATCAATGAATTAATGAATAGGTACTAGGACTCCTAGAATTGTATTCCTCTTCTTGCATGATTACGAGGCTCGTCATGAAAATGATAAGTGTATCTTAGTGTTTTTGTTTTCATGGGAGCACCGAACTTTTAAACAAAATTGATTTTTTTTTTAATTTTAATATACTGGTATTAAAAATAAATTTTAAAAAATAAAAAATTATTATTTTAATATATTTTAATATACTGGTTGTAAAAAGAATTAGCATTTTTTCCCTCATATTTGAATATCAAAATTTCGTCATCGTACTAGATGATTAAAAGAATTGCAATGGTATAGGGATGAAGCAGGGGTACTGCCCTCTTGCAAAATTTGCAACTCTAAAGGGAGAAAAAACCACGTGCCATCATATTATTGGGTTACTTGCATCACGGCGAAAAACAAAAGCATCTTAATCGTGGCGAAAATCAGCAAGGCGCAAGCGATACACCGCAGCAACAGCGTTTTCTCTCTTCTCCTTCTTGAAAACCGTGAAGGCATCCTTTCCCTGTTGATCAATTCCCAACTGTACATTCTTCTCTCTTTACCACTCTACTACTGTCTACAAAGAGGAAGAGGAGAGAAACTATAGACGCAACAATGTTTGCTATGCTGATCTTTGTGTTGTTATCGATAATGGCGCAATTAAAAGCTGATCATGGATTCGATGTCCGTCACCACCTGTCCACTGTAACAAAGTCTCTCTCTCTCTTTCTCTAGATAATCTAATTTAATTTTGTTTATGGAATAACTTGGTTAGTGCTCGCTACCATAGGATCACAAATCAGTGTTCTCGAAGAAGAGAAAACAAGCGAATTGTTAATTAGTTTAAGTGTAATTATTTAATTTTGTTTGATAAATCATGTGCAGATATGATGCAGTGAAAGATATTGTCAAAGCTTCTGCTAATAGCATTCCTGATGGTTGCACTCCTATCCACCTAAACCTTGTGGTAACTTTTTTCTTCTTGCAAAACTTTAGATTGATGTTTTCTTGTCGTTCATTTGGAATGTTTAAAGTCAATTCCGTAGCTTGAGCAACTAGAGCGTCTAGATGGCTTGAGTTTGTCTTGGTGGTTTTTGCTTTACAGCTGTTGGTGTTCGAATGCTAAAATTTTGGGTTTAAGCTAGCTGATAATGTAGCAGATTGTCTATAAACTTTGATTAAGATTTGCTAATTTGCCGCCGAGTACCTGCTCAAGTAACTAACTGATTTTGAAAGATGTTTGGGTTTAATGTGTTTTTTTTTTTTGGGGTACGATTAGTTTCTAGGTTTTGGGCATGATTTTGCACTTACGGAAAAATTTGAATTTCCCATCTGTCTCCGAAGATGATTCCCTGGACTCAGGCGTGGCTTCTTTTAAAAAAAAGCTGTGATGCCCTCAGAATTACTTCAAGCATCATTTTTCTTTATAAATGAAAACTTTCAGATGTGAACATAATGTATTATGCACTTGAAATCAAGGACTTCCTACCAAAGTCAGGAAAACGGCACTAATTGTAGTTTCTGAGTTATTGAAATTTGTAGAACTGGAGCATGCGAGTTATCATATAGTGTAACTTGTATGTTAGCATGCCGTAGTGTGTGACAGTTGGAACGAGCCATGCATCCGTTCCTAATGTAGGTGTCACTTGTAGAATTTGCTTAAACCATTTTGACGTTTTCCTTTTTTTTAAGGGATGATATCTGGAGCTATCACTTTCTTTCTTGGTACCTTTTTAATGATAACATGACCCTTTTGCTTGGACATTTTACATTGTTGGTTACTTTGGATGGCATCTTTCTGATTCAACCTTTTAATTTTCTGGGTTTTTATGTTAATTTCTTCTAATTCTTGTAGTGATTAGGTGCTCTGATTAAAGTTATTACTGTGTATTTAAAACCACAATGAATTTTAATCCTTTGGAATTTACTAGGCAAGACATGGAACTCGTTCCCCTACCAAAAAGCGAATGAGAGAGTTAGACAAGCTGGCTTCTCACTTGGAAGAGCTCATAAAAGATGCTGAAGAACAAAATTTGTCCTTGGAAAAAGTTCCCTCATGGTTACAGGGATGGGAATCTCCCTGGAGAGGGAAATTGAAAGGTGGAGAATTGATCAGGAATGGAGAAGAAGAAATGTACAATCTTGGAATCAGGATCAGAGAGAGATTTCCAGAATTATTTGAAGAGGAATACCACCCGGATGTTTATCCTATAAAGGCTTCACAAGTGAGCTCTGTTCTAAGATACTCTACAAGGAAAATTGTCTTTTCAATATCTTTTTTAGATTTTAAATCTGAGAGACTGGTCTCTCCAATCAATCCCAACTTCATACCTGTGCTGTTCTTGTAGTCTTTTACTTTTTCATCCGGTTAATTTCATTTACTTCCTTGTTATTCTCTCTAATCTGATAGATTCCTCGCGCATCAGCTAGTGCTGTGGCATTTGGCATGGGGCTGTTAAGTGAGAAGGGAAGTCTGGGACCTGCACGACAACGAGCTTTCGCTGTTACAAGTGAAAGCCGTGCGAGTGACATAATTTTGAGGTTTCATGATTGTTGTGGAAACTATAAGGTACCGTCCAGTTTCACTCCTTTTTTTTTTGTTCATGTTTTATGTTTTTATGCAAACCAAACAACTTGTACATTCTAAGTCAATATTTATTTTGTATGGTTATTTACTTTGTCTTCCCAATTTCTGAGCCCAAAGATAATAGCTTCATTACTTTAAAATAATTATTTTCTTTGTAAACGGATTTTAGATGGGACTTGTAGATTTGGACACTAGGTGATGACTAGGATAGGATTTGTAATTTATTGAAGTTATTAAGATACATAAAAGTTGTGGATTTGCATATTAGCCCATGTTCTC